GTAATGCGTACAAGTTACTCCTGGGGAGATTTTGATTGGACACAAGAGGAAAATTTTTCACAAAGAGAACAATCAGCCCTTGGAACAATCTCCCCAGGGATGTGGTAGATTCCCCAACATTGGACACTTAAGATTCATCTGGCCATGGTTCTGGACCATCTTGTCTAGACCGTGGTTTTGTCATGAAAGGTTGTACCAGATATATCTGAGGTCCCTTTCAACCTGGTATGCTATGATTCTGTAAAGGAGAAACAAAGGCTGGTGTGTTTTTTGTTGTTTTGGTTTTTTTGGTTTTTTTTTGAGTATTTTTTTTTACTACTTACAGATGGGGCACTGAAAAGGTCTGTTTTAGCTTGACTTTCAAACAGGCCATCAGCTGGCAGCACACTTTGTCGGGGAACAGGCTTCGGTGGTTCTAAGGAAAAAGAGACATACTGCTATAATCACTTACTAGCTTTAACAAGTACTCAGCACTGCTTGTGTAGCAGCCTCAAAGCTTATCTAATTAGATACACAAAAACCCCACATCGAAGTTGCTTTGAGTGACCTCAGTTTTATCTTGTGCTTGTCCCTCACTACACTTAAGCTAGATGGGACTTCTAACATTGTACAGACCTAATTTACCTCATTCTAGTGAGGTAGTTTAAGCACTAGGTGTCAGTGTTTGGCCACTGACATTGATCAATTCTGTAAAATTATTAGGGAAGACAGTCCTACAAGCCTCCGTTTCAATAACCATTAAATCAAGTATTTAGTTCTATCAGAAAAGACTAGTGATCAGTTATCCCAACTGCTGAGCAGCTCTCTAAGCAGAAGGAAAAACAAAGACTTTACTAGTCGTTTTGGCAGGCAGCTTGCTAGCTTCCATGTCATTGTGATCTGTACTGTTTTGAGAAATGCCTACTGTACTACTAAAAGCTCCAGAAGTACCTGAAAGGCTTTGCTGCTCTCCTCTCCTTGCTGGTACTGCAGGTGGCTTTGTCAGCTGGAAGTCCTTGAACATTTCCTTGACATCCTTTATCTCCTTATCACCAAGTGGATCCAGAGCGATGAAAGCATCACTCTCTTTCTTGGATAACTCCTTCTGAGGTGCAGTTCTAGGTGGTGGCTGAGGTGGGCTAGTTGTTGACATTGAGGGCAGTACAGATGGTGTCTGAGCAGGTAGTGTTGAAGATGGGAACACACTACTCTGGAAGGGATTTACAGCACTGGATGGCTGCACCCATGAACTAGATGGAACTTGTGCTGGCTGGGCCCAGAGACCAGAGGTCTGAGGAGCTACTGGACCAAAAGATGCAGCCTGGCTCCAGCTTGGCACTGCTTGAGTACCAAAGGCAAGTGATTGAGTAAACCCTGTGGACTGAGCAGGCATCATAGACCCAGGAAAGACTGATGCAGCCTGAGTGAAGGCAGGTGTCTGTGCACTCCATGGTGATGAAGTTACTGGCAAGCCACCTGTGGGGGGAAGATTGCACTTCAATGATCTTAAGACCTCGAACAGGAGTGGATAAATTCCACTGAGGGTACCAGCAAAACATTTTTCATGTGCTGTTTGCAAAAATCTGTTGATTTACACTTAAAAATCAAGTCATTTTCAGGGGAGAGAAAGGTGTTAACATTTTTAAATTTGCTCCAGTCCTGGAAGAACAGAATTGAGGTCAATGTAACAGAAGGAGGAACATACTTAGTCTTAGCACAGAAGTGGTAGATGCATTTGCCATATAATATTTACACAAAAGTAACTAAGACTTTGCAGCAGTGATATCCAAGCCTCCAAAGTTGTGCTTGGCTCACTTGAACCTTGTGTACCTAAAGCAGCAATACGCTGTCAAAGTTTAAGCAAAAAACTTAGTTTAGGGCAGACAGCACATGAATTAAAGGACATGGCACTACACATGAAGTAAAAAAAAACCCCTGTTTTGGTGTTAGCATACATCCTAGATATCTTATATACGCTTAGACTGGAGCAAGAGCTTCACTTTGTGAACTAACCTAAACCAGCCAATGGAGATGCTGTCGTAGAAGTTGTTTTGAAGAGGTCCAGTGGACTAGTTGGCACAGGTCCTGTTTGTGCCACTGAGGTCAAGCTAAGGCTCTCTGTAGTCGGCACAAAGAAGTCTGGGCCAAAGAAGTCATTTGATGCAGTCTAAAAAGAAGAAACCTTCATGAGATGGCATGGCAGAATACATGCTAGCATGATCAAGACTCCCTAGTCCAGATCTACAAGCTTTTATTTCAGCTAGAGCAGAGAGCTTTGATCTATCCTTTAAAGACCAAGCATAACTGAGATGCTAGGCATTAAGTGGGTATAATATATAGCAGTCACAAGTCAACAGCAGAAGAATAAGACTTAAGTGACTGAATTAATTGCTATCATAATGGGCTTCCCTCTG